GCCGCATTGACTCATCTATTCTCTGTTATTAATTTTAAAGCTGGTGAGTAGATTGCAGACATCATTCTATCCCAAACACATTAGCATACATTACCAAAATCAATGACATTTTCCTACCTACTTATAGGGCAGAATCAAATTGAAGAACCAAACATATATAACATATAGTTATTATATCTAACATATAGTCCATATTAAAAGCTTTTAGATTGCCAATGTTTTTTTGTAATGACTCCCAACACCCCAAAGACAAGAGCATTCATGACTTTTAGGTACACGTTTGTTTGCCTTTGAAACCTCACCTTTGCCCTGAAGTAGAGGATGGTCTTCGGATTCTTCTGTGTGCTCTCTGTTGAAGAACAAAAAGACATTAGGAATGTCCAGTAGGTCATTGGATGAAACAAACTGCACAGAAAAAACTTGTTTTGAAGTTTTAAAACTTTGGCTGGGTTTTGGTGCCTTGATTCAGCAAAGTCTACAATGCAGCAGGGCTATGTGAGCATTGGACGGGCAATAAAGCCTGCCTTTATTTCATAATCCCAATTGTTTATTTAGCAAACATCCATAGACTGTAAACGACTGACTCAAATTTTGGATTCAGTTCTCACTACTAAGCAAATTGATTTGAAACCAGCCTGGTATAAATGTCCCTGTGCCTGTAGCCCCGGAAGCCGCTCTGGATTTCTTTCAGTGGTGCGGAATCAACCTCTGCACTTACAATGTCTAAAACTGGAGCCAAGGTAAGTAAAGGCCATGCAGACGTCTCAGCTCCCCTGCTTTTCTTCTAAAGATACATGGAAAGAGGAATACAGAAAGGCTCCTGCTTCTTTGCCTGGAGGGGAATAACCTAGTGCTTGAAGGACAAGGATGGGGAGGGGGTGAAGGAGGGCTTGTTTTCTAGTCTAACAGCATCATCTAACACAACACTGAAGATTTACATTTAGCAATGGCGCTGTGCTAAGTACTATATGGGTAAGCAATACCGAAACCATCACGATGGCTGCCGTCCAGCAACATGGATGATTCAGTCTCACAGGAATAGGACATGATGGAGACTGTAATAGACAACTTAAGTAGTCAACGTTCTCTTGTGTGTAATTTAGCCTCAGTCCTTATTGTTCCAGAAGGCCAGTGGCCAGGCCAGGCCAGTGAACTCAGTCAGACAGTACTTCTTCATTTGAGGCAGGGTCCTCACTAACCTTTGACTCGACTGCCTGTCTGGAGGTGAATGCTCAGGCAAGGCTTGGGGAAGGAAGGGATTCTCTGGTTAGTTAGCTTTTGTAGCCCTCAGCGAGGCTAAAGGGTGGAGTCAGTGTGTGGTCCCTGATCCCTCCCTCCTCCGACTCTTTGAAAACTTTCAGACTTACTAATGTTGAAAGAATAAGAAAGATGTGCAGCAAATTCTTGCTTTTCACCGATGCTCTCCAATTGTTAACATTTGGTTATATTTGCTCTCTTTATTATGCCATTGAAGAGTACCTAACTGCATTGCGCTGTTGATTGGGGTATTTAGATATATATCTCCTAAAAACAATTTTTTTTTTTTACCGTGAATAAACACACCTCTAAAATTCATCCTAAATCTAACACCCAACATTCAGACCATACTTAGTTTCTCCAGTTGACCCCAGACATGATAGGGCATGTTAATGTCATGGGATACATTAGTTATTTGATTATTTTTCTTTGCTTACATTCTCTGCCCCCCTCCTCTTCTCCTCTCCCTCCCTCCCACTCTCTCTGTGCCTGTAGAGCAGTTCCTTCAGTTTTTGTTGTTGTTATTTTTATTGAGACATGGACAGTTTTCAAAGCTCAGGCCAGGTATATTGAAGAAACTCCATTTGGATTCACATCACAGTTTCTTCATCTTTAGACTGAGACTAGCAAGAAGTTAGGCAGACAATAGCATATGCTTACCAGTGTATGTTATCTGGAGGTAGCTGCTAGCTTGTTCTGTCATTGGTTAGATGCCCTTTCTCCTCATTTGACAAATAGAATTAACAACCATCCAGATGTTGCAGGGGAAAGACTGTCTAGTGTAAAATATACACCACTTAAATCCCACTGAAAATCTGAAGAGCCTGGAGGGAAGCTATTACATAAACATCATGTAAATAGATACCTAGTCTTTCTCCCTTCCGTTCTCACTATCTGTTACCGGTTAATTAAGAGGCACATTGACTCAGCAAGAGCAACAGATTTTATTAAGCATGTTTTCTGTTAACATAATCTTGCTTAGACTGGTAGGCTATTTTTCAAAAATAAACTCCAATGTGACAGGAATTTTGTAGTGATTTCTAGGAAATCCAGCACTATTTTCTCTACAAGTTTTATGTCCAAAGGCCACAATCTCTCCATTAGCAATAGAGTGGTTAAATTTCACATTTCCAGCCTACATTCACTCAACAGATAGATAGGGCTGGAGCTCCATGAAAAACTAATGCATCCTTGGTTCAACGTGGGATGACTGACTGGCCTCTGAGGGCAGACAACATGGTGACCCCATGTATAGATGTACTTCTCAGATACTGCTATAAGGCAAATGTGCAGAGGACTGTAAATGTGAGAACCAATGAATTAAAATATACAAGCAGTATTCCCCATAGCATAGCTCCCATAAAGTCATTTTTGCTAAGTCATGGCTCAAAAGTAAAATCAGCATATGAATGAAGGCGGGTGGAACCTGTCCATTATGGAAGTTACTCGATTTTCCTGAAGATCTCATCACAGGTCACAATAAAAAGGCTCTGGGGTGCAGGGTCAGTCCTGCTGAGTGTTTAGAGTGTAAATGCTGCTATGTAAGTAAGTCATGTGGGGGTAGGAAGATGGAGTGAAAAGAAAATGGCCCACATAAGAAGCAAGGGGTCTATACTGCAGCCCACGGGCTTCTAGCTATCCTTGAATAGCCAGTGATCTTTGGAAGTCATCTCCTAGTCCATAACAACAAAAGCAGCTTACTCTTAACTATCTTTAACGATTTCTCTTCGGCTGCCTAACCTGCACAAGGATGACAATGATGGGCATGCTAAGGTGCAAAGAGGGAAGCTCCTGAAACTTCAGCCTTGCACAAAGAGCTACAGGCAACTAAGGCAGGCTGCATTGTGGGACAAGTAGTCCTCCCCGGGGAAGATCACACCAATTGGCTACCAAATACCAAATGGTCAGCCCTGAACTTACACACAAGTACCATGCAGACTGAGCCAGTTGTATTTTTAAAATGTGCTTATCAGTTTTACACATGTATATAAGGTACTTTGATCATATTCATCCCCATTATTCTCCCATTTCCCTCCCACTACACCAGCCCCCTTCCCTGTAACCCCCTTGCTAGTCCTGTGGAGGGTGTGTGTGTGTGTGTGTGTGTGTGTGTGTGTGTGTGTGTGTGTGGTGTGTCCCATTGTATTTAATTGGGGTTGCTTGCTTGAGCTTGGGTGTGGGCTATTTGAGCAGGACAGCTTAGAGCAGCAGTTCTCAACCTGTGGGTCTGAACCCCACTGTGGGTCACATATCAGACATTTACATTACGATTCCTAACAGCAAAATTACAGTTATGAAGTGGTAGCAAAATAATGTTATGGTTGGGGTCCCCACGGCATGAGCTGTATTAAAGGGTTGCAGCATTAGGAAGGTTGGGAGTGACTGCTTTTCGAGTGTCTACACCACCAAGGAATATGAGACTCACTCTCCCAACAACTTCTAATTGCCTATGGCTTCTCAGGCTGGGGTGGGGCCCCTTCTACTTCACTGGCAATTTTGAGTCAAGTATCAAACTTTCTACTTGATTACCATTATTTCCATTTTACCCTCAGTCCACCCCTCTGTAGGACACACTTTCACCCTGAGCTCTGAAGGAAGGCTCAATGCTCATTCGTCACATGGCTAGCTAGTAAGCTGTGCTGGATTTTTTCCCTCTCGTCTGTAAACAGGCACTTCTAGATCTGCTATGCTGAAATAAGAGAGGGATCAGACAAACAAATTTGAAGAGGAAGGAATGAAATAAATGATTTGTGTGTATGTGTAAGAAAAAATAGGGAACAGGAAATAGAGGTGAGAGAATTAGGATGCGGGTGCATTAAGGCAGAATGGAACAGGGTGTGTCATCTGGGGAAGAGTCTGAAAGAGAAAGGCTCTTTGTGTGAGTCCATTCTCTCCATCTAATGAGTCGCCAAAACCTGACGGAACCTGTTCAGGGTGCTTTCCTGTCGCAGCTACCCGTGTTACCTCCTTGCTCTTGCTCACAGTCACTGAGGGAACCAACTCCAGCTCGGTCACACTCACTGTACACTCACTCACTACACACGAGTTCCTGTGACAGGCTGTGCTCTTCACCAGCTTTATTCGTTTGGACAGGCTTGTCCCCTTTCCTTTCCTTCTAGAAAACTACTCACCCTTCTACCCTCACTCAAAAAAACGAAGACTCCCCGCCTCGGCTCCCTTATGACAGCGCTTTTCTGTTAATAAGTCCGATCAGCCACAAGGTGGCGGCACACTGCCAAGAAATTAACCACCTCAACCACGACTCTCCGTAGTTTCCTTATAACCCAGCGTTTTTCTGGTTGTGAAATAACTGTGCACAAGGTGTGTGTGTGTGTGTGTGTGTGTGTGTGTGTGTGTGTGTGTGTGTGTGTGTGTGTGTGTGTGTGTGTGTGTGTGTGTGTGTGTGTGTGTGTGTGTGTCTATTTTGGGGTTTCACGGTGATAGAAACAATTGATGAACTCCCAGAGTTCCTATCAGGTGTTCCCTATTTCAACCAGAGAAACTGAGGTCCGCTTTGCATCATCACTTCCGGTCTGTTTGCGTAGAGGGCTGTAGAAACGTAAATACGCGGTTTGGTCTTGGTCGGAGACTGCTGTCCTCCATTAGAACGTTCTTTTATTGTGCTCCACTTTAAGAAAGTCCCGATCGCATTTGTTGACAAAATCCCCAGAAGTCAACGTGAGGTCAAGTAGAGGAGTGCGTTTCTCTTCACAGTGGAAGGGAAGGCCGTCCTAATGTGACAGTGAGCTTTTCTCTCTCATCTGTGTGCAAAGCCGCCCAGTCCCTCAGCTCTCTAACTGCTCTGTGCTTCAGATTAGTTTCTATGAAGACAAAAATTTTCAAGGCCGCCGCTATGACTGCGACTGTGACTGTGCCGACTTCTACTCGTACCTCAGTCGCTGCAACTCCATCAGAGTAGAAGGAGGCACCTGGGCTGTGTACGAAAGGCCCAACTTCGCGGGGCACATGTACATCTTACCTCAGGGCGAGTACCCTGAGTACCAGCGTTGGATGGGCCTCAATGACCGCCTGGGCTCTTGCAGAGCTGTTCATCTGGTGAGTCTGGGAGCTTGCTGTGGCCACAACCCCACATCTTTTCCAAGATTTTATTTTTATGAGTGTGTGTGTGTGTGTGTGTGTGTGTGTGTGTGTGTGTGTGTGTGCATGTGTGCGTGTGAGCACATTTGCATGCAGGTGCCTTCAGGGGCCAGAAGAGGGTGTTGGGTCCCCGAGAGCTGGAGTTCCAGGTGGATATGAGCTGCCTGATACAGATTTTGGGAACTGAACTGACTCCTTTGGGAGAGCAGCAAGCACTCTAATCAGCTGAGCCGTCTCTCCAGCCCCCTCTCCCCCACACACCTTTTCCTAAGTCTTTCTAGAGGTTTTGTTGACTGAAATAAAAATCATAGTTTACTTCCTCACTAGACTAAATGACATCACTTCCCAGCCTTTTGGCTGAGATCAAGTGAAGACTAATTGTTCTATGACCCTCTTTCTACCTCATATATATTTATAGAAATTATACTTTAAAAAACGAAGACAGCCTTTTCAGTATTCCACGGTGGAGACAGTTCTGGTGGCCCTCCTTTCAGGGTGATAGGCTGTGAACGTGCTGTCCTCTGAGTTCCTGAAGCGCTAATGATTTCTCTAATGATGGCTGTCCATTGCTGTTTGTTGCTGTTGTCCACAGTCTAGTGGAGGCCAGTATAAGATCCAGATCTTCGAGAAGGATGATTTTAATGGCCAGATGTATGAAACCACAGAAGACTGCCCTTCCACCATGGAGCAGTTCCACATGCGAGAGATCCACTCCTGTAAGGTACTAGACGGCACCTGGGTTTTCTACGAGCTGCCCAACTACCGCGGCAGGCAGTATCTTCTGGACAAGAAGGAGTACCGGAAGCCCATCGACTGGGGGGCAACGTCCCCCGCGGTCCAATCACTGCGCCGCATCGTAGAGTGACGACGTGAACGGGCCATAGAGTTCTCCCTGAGGGCTGAATGCTGGCTGGCTTGTGCTCCACATAGCATCATAAATAAAAGAATTGGCATGCATCCCACTGCCGACTGTAGTGCCTCTTAATTGCTTTTAGGGAGCAACAATCTAGAACCCACCACGGTGGGCAGTTACGCAGAGCAGTTCAGCTATCTGATAACTAGTCTAGACCTTTGTGCAAAGCCAAGTAAGAGTGCATTGAAGGCTGGGAAATAGCATTCTCGCGGAGTGACTCTTTCTGCTTGTGTTTTGCATCAGAAACAATCAGAGCTGCCATTTGCGGGAGTTCCTGTACTCATGGTTTGTTTCTTCCCAACCCACTCTATAAGAGTAGTGCTCTGTCTACACTTTGCAAGTAAGAAAACCCACATGTCAGAAAAACATTTTAAATGGACCACGTTGACAGGTGGTGAATAGAAGAGGTAGAATTTTCCAAGGACATTTAAGCTTCTGAAAGCCATCGTTCGATTTCCAGCTCATCCCTTCAGCTCATCATAGCTGGAGATCTGTGTGCAGTGTGAGTACAGGACCCTGAAAGACGTAGAAAGCAGGAGAAGTAGGGTTCCACTGCAAGTTCTCTCAGGAGACAGGATCCACTTGCTGGTAGCCAAGCTACCTGGGGCCTAATGCCCTCACTTAAGATCTACACGTTCCGGGTTCGCGTGAGAAGGACACGTTGCGGCTTGTCTCTACTCTCTCACGGTATTTGAAAGGGAGTTGGATGGAGTCTTGATGCTCTGAATAGCCCTTAAGGCTTCACTTAGTTCATTCTGATGAAGACACAGCATCACTGAGAATGGTAGGGGGTATCTGGGAATTTGGGGAAATGCTAAAAGCACCTGTCTTTAAAAGAGGTGGCAAAGCTCTTGTCTCCTAGGGTCTTTCCCCCAAGATGATACATAAGAATGCTAAATTCCAATGCCTACTACATGCCTATAATTCATTTAATTTATTTTATTATCTCCCCCCCCTTTTTTTTTTCATTTTGTCAGTGAGGACTATGAGGAAAGTGGGAGGAACTAAGGGAGACCCACACTGAGAAAAGGGGTAGTATGTTGCCCAGGGAGCTGCAGAGGGAGACCCACACTGAGAAAAGGGGTAGTATGTTGCCCAGGGAGCTGCAGAGGGAGACCCACACTGAGAAAAGGGGTAGTATGTTGCCCAGGGAGCTGCAGAGGGAGACCCACACTGAGAAAAGGGGTAGTATGTTGCCCAGGGAGCTGCAGAGGGAGACCCACACTGAGAAAAGGGGTAGTATGTTGCCCAGGGAGCTGCAGAGGGAGACCCACACTGAGAAAAGGGGTAGTATGTTGCCCAGGGAGCTGCAGAGGGAGACCCACACTGAGAAAAGGGGTAGTATGTTGCCCAGGGAGCTGCAGAGGGAGACCCACACTGAGAAAAGGGGTAGTATGTTGCCCATGGAGCTTCAGAGGGAGACCCACACTGAGAAAAGGGGTAGTATGTTGCCCATGGAGCTGCAGAGGGAGACCCACACTGAGAAAAGGGGTAGTATGTTGCCATGGAGCTGCAGAGGGAGGGCCCAGCCCAGGAGCTGCCAGTGCCATCAGTTCTGGACCTTACCACCCTGCCAAGAAGCTAACTTGCCTCCTCTCCAGCACAAGAGTCCCAAAGCAAGTGTTCTCCATTGAACACAGGAGAATTTTCCAAGGGCCAGAAAGGACATGGGAAAAAGGGGCCAATCCCCAAGATCATTGACAAGGCTTTTAAAAGCGCAATTTCTTGACGTGACCTCAGAGATCTTTCCAGTCATGTTCCACTGGGGAAACTGAGGCTGTGTTCACAGTGAGTTACCGACAGCCTCTCCTCTCGTAGCAGCTCCTGCTTTGCTCCTTAGGCGTTCGTCACAGTGTGTGCAAGGCCACCAGAAAGGCAGTTCTGGCAGCAACACAGGACAGCGGTGTCAGGATGGCTATGCACTGTCTGCCAGAGGCAAACAATGGCTGCTGAAACAGGCTTGTCAGTTTCTGCCCTGGTTCAGAAAGGCCGCTGCCACTCTCCAGGCCACACGTGCACCTCTTAGCTCTGCTTAAAAGGAGTTTCTCAGGCATTGAATATGAAAGGCAAGAACTCTTTTGTCCTCCATTCATAAATTCCAGACCTCCAGGGGTGGAGGAGATGGTTCGCTCTGCTGTTAGAGCCAAGGGCTGGCATCCCACCTGTCAGCCACACTCCAAACATCAAGGTTATTATTCTGAGTTTACTCTCTCTACTCTTCATTGTTTTCTCTGAAACAGCATCTCAGGAAAGCAAAGGCCAAGGTATACTAAAACCATGTTAGCTTTTTTTTCTATCCTAAGCATTCCTCTGAGTACTTCCCAGATGTGGAGCCCACTTTGTCAACATGCTAGGTCAAAGGATTCCATGTCAAGCCTCCAGGGTGAAGCTGAAAGATGAAACACAGAACAGTATTAGTAAACACCAAATGCTGGGATATAAATATAAATGTGACCTAAGTTCTACATGGGACATGCTAGAAATGATCATCTGTCTGAAATCGTGACTTCATCCTTATCTGCATTTGCTGTACCCAGCCGCTCTATTACAAGAGTAAGGTAAATCACAACACATTATGTTGGGCTGAAAGCACATGGGATGCTGCAGGCTTCTGAAACAGCGGTGCAGGCTCCACAAAGGACATTTAAATTCATTGTTTTAAGAAAGGGTAGTAAACTTGTGCCCCCAGTGGATGGACCCGTGGACCACTGGCTTCCAATCTTGGCTATCAAAGGGCTCTGAATGCCACAAAACCTCCCTTACACAAATCCAGCATGTATGTCCCTAGTTTCCAGTCTGCAGTCTGGGCTCTGATCCATCTGAGTCTCCATCCACAAGACTTAAGGATGCCTCTGTTTCCCTTCACACTGTCGTTTCCACACCCAGCAGCTCCTTTTCTTCCACTATCCTCTTGGTGTGTGCCAAATGCAATTGTCTCTTCCCCGTGTCTTTCCTGTGGTTTGACCCACACAAACTACATCTGGATGGTTGTGTTCTGTTTTTGTTTGTTTCATTTGACTCTGGGTTTAAATATGGTGTGTGTGGTGGAAAGGGTTGTATATGTTTTGTTTCGACTAAGTGTCTTAGTTACTTTTCTGTTGTGGTGATAAAACACTGTGATTAAGACAATTTAGAAAAGGAAGGGTGCCAGGCAGTGGTGGCGCACGCCTTTAATCCCAGCGCTCGGGAGGCAGAGCCAGGCGGATCCCTGTGAGTTCGAGGCCAGCCTGGTCTACAGAGCGAGATTCAGGACAGGCACCAAAACTACACAGAGAAACCCTGAATCAAAAAGGAAAAGAAAAAAAAAAAGGAAGGAAGGAAGGGTTTGTCTGTATGGTTCCAGAGGGTTGAGTCCGTGATGGAAGGAAAAGGAAGCTGAAAACTCACCCCTTGGAGCACAATCACAAAGCAGAGACAGAAAACTAGAAATGTCAGAGTCTTTAGACTCTTGAAGCCTGCTGCCAGGGACATACGTCCTCCAGCAAGACCACACCTCCTAAACCTCCCCAAACAGTGCTACCAACTGGGGACCAAGCGTTCAAACACCTGAGCCGCCGAGGGACAGTTATCGTTCGAACCATCACACTAAGGCTGCCCCTCCTGTCAGAGAGCTCTGAAGACCACAGTCTCTCCTTCACACAAAGTCGGCATCTGCCCCTTCAGCTTCCAGTCTGCTGTCTTAGCGCTGACCCACCTAAGTCTCCATCTACAAGACTTGATCCCTCTTGATAATCTATCAGTTCTGCTATGGGATCACCTACATTTTCCTAAGAACTAGCAGTCTGGTACAAAAGCTAGAGTCCTGTTCCTCTCTGGGAGTGGATTCAAATCCTGCCAACTGACACCATCAGTTTAGAGTCACATAGTCTAACATGGATAACTTCAACTCTCTCACCCATAGGGCAGCACTATATAAAAACATATAACATGCATGCCTTGTTATCATCGTCTTCAGTAGCTGCAAAGATACCACAAGCACTGAACGGCACGAGCTGAATTGTTGCTGTGAGAGGAGATGTAAGGTTAGGTTCCTGTGAGCCTCTGGCACAAGTATTTTTGTCAATGAGCAACACTAAACCTCTCCTCTTGGGTGCCTCTGTTTCAAGACACTTTAAGCATATTGTTGACTCAGGAACATGGAGCTCATAGCCAGGGGCTCTAGAACTCATGCCAGATGGATGATTTTTTTCTGGGAAGGTCTGTCACAGCCTTCTCATGCTTTAGATACCATGTTGGTACTATCATTAGGGGGCATTTGAAAACAGTGAAACAATCGACGAAAAGCAGGAATGCAAAGAGTACGACGTTAGGTGTGCCTGGAACGATGTGTGAGAGTTTGTTCCTCTCCGGCTGGGATCACATGCACTGGGTCACTGGTCTTGGCTCCTCTTTGCTCACCTCCATGAGTTAGTCTCAAAACCACGGTGATTTGTGCTGGATGATTCCGAAGGGACTAGGGGTTAGGAATTGCAAATGCAGACTCTGACACAGTGAGGATAACCTGACTGCAGTGGTTACTGTGTTTCCACTCTTTTCTAGTACTAAGGATCTGTTGCCAAGTTATTTGGATTTCTCCCATAGTCTTCTACATGGTTAGCCAGCTTTAGACCTTTTTACTTTATCCCATAAATTTCCAGAAGTGTGCCTATGACATGTGGGTACAGATGTGTGTTCATATGTGTGGGTGCATGTATACATGTATGTGCATGTATGGAGGCTCTAGATTGATGTCCCCTTTCCACCTGATATATTTTGGAACAGGGTCTTTTGCTCACCATTTATCTAGCTAGTAAGCTTGGCCCAGAGAGTCCCTGTCTCTGCCCCCTTGAGTGCTGAGATCATAGGCAGGCTGCCCAAACCACCTGGCTTTTATGTGGGTTCTGGGAATCTAAAGTCTGGCCCCCATGCCTGCATGGCATCACCTTACCCAAGAGCCACCTTCACGGTCAATGTCTGCAATTTTGGCAGATGCTTCGTTGTTGGGAACTATGTCGAATCATCTAATCCAGTCCATAACCTTGACAAAAGCCATACTTCGTTGTTACAGGA